GAATCAAAAGAAGATGGGAGGAATACATAGTCACTCTATCAAAAAGATATGGTTTGTGTTCAGTCATTTCAAAAGATAGCATATGATCCAGAGCCAATGGTACTGAAGGGAGGAGTCCAAGGTGCACTGAAGACTATGGTAAAGAACAAGACTCTAGGAATTGATGGAATACAAACTGAAATATTTTAACAAACTGAGGCAGCACTGGAGGCACTCCCTCTTCTATGCCAAGAAATTTGGACGACAGCTGCCAGGTCAACTGGTTGGAAAAGATTTATATTTGTGCCTACTTCAAATCAAAGAAATGTGGAAATCATGGTATAATATCATTATCAGCATATGTAAATAAAATATTGCTAAAGATAATAAAAAAAATGATTGCAACAGTACATAGATAGGGAACTGCAAGAGGCTCAAGCTGAATTCAGATGAGGCTGTGGAACTAGGGATATAATTGTTTACGTCAGATAAATCTTGGCTGAAAACAGAATTTTCGTGGCTGACCCAAGCCAGGGTATTTTCAATGATATTTCCAGCAGATTTTTCATGCCTCACTCAAGCCATGATATTTTCAGTATACTCATATGCATGTGAAAATTGGACAGCGACTAAGGAAGACCATAGAAGAATTGTTGAATTTGAGTTATGGTGTTGGACAAGAATATTTAAAGTATCATGGACTTCCAGAAGAACAAAGGAAACTTTGTTGGAAGAAATACAGCCAGAATGTTCCTTGGAAGCCATGATGGCCAGACCTTGTCTCTCATATTTTGGACATATCATCAGGAGGGACCAGTCCCTGGAGAAGTATATCCTTAGTAAAGTGGAGGGTTGGATAAAAAGGGTTGGACCCCAATGAGACAGATTTGCACAGTGACAGCAACATGGACTCTAAATATGACAACAATCATGAGGTTGGTGTAGGACTGAGCAGTATTTTGTTCTGTTGTGCATAGGGTCACTATGAGTCAATATCAACTCTGTGGCACCTAACAACAACAACAACAATAACAGGACACTCAGTTCCACAACCACAAGATTCTGAATTCTTCCAACAATAAAGAAATAAATTGTACCCTACAGTCTCTACAAAAGAATGTCGCCCTACTAACACCTAAACATAAGATTTCTGACATATGGAAATATAAA